AGTTTACTAGTTCAGGTGGATTACCCAAGCTGAGAACTGACAAACTAAACAGCTCAGAAAAACTAGACAGCTAAAATCGTAATCAAATGATCACAAAATGATCTGCCTTGTGTCTGTTAAAACATCTTAGACAGTCTAAGTTGTTTTAACAGGCAGATGATTTGTTAGCAAAGCAATCTTACCAATTTGAAATGACAATGCCGCTAGCTACAGCTAAATTACAAATCCTTCAAGGGGCCTGAGCACTTAATGTATCCATACTAGTTCTAAAGTTTTAAAGGCAATGTATTTCTATTGGCAGTATGTGCACCACGTCTTTTTGTCTGTTCGGGACTTGGAAGACCGGAAGCTGTTTGGTTCATAAAAACATGTTCTTACTCAATATCAAGCTACGATTATTGTTTTTATTTTAAATTGTATAATGTCTGACTTTTTTTGAAATCCGCGAGGAAAAGAAATGGGGCTCAGAGCCTCAGAATACTGAAATCTTTATTTTTAAAATCTTTTTTTCCCTCTAATTTGTTATTCTTTTCAAAATAACAAACTTTTATTTACTAAACAATAACACACAATTGTCCTTGTTTTTATTTATTTGTTTAATTGTATAGTCTCTGGCTTTTTTGGGGTCCGTCAGGAACTGAATTTCAAAAATAAAATAACCGGAAACAGACGTAGGCCTATATGGGACATTTCTAGCATCATTGCGATACACAGCATGATACACAGCCACTGAACTGATTACCCAAGATCCTCAGCTATGGTTTAAGCTCGGTGATTGGATGTTTTAGCCGCAATGCACGTTGGGATATGGTGTTAATGCGATATGAAATCCGAAAAACATGTCGGCGTTGTCGCGGACCGGACACATGCGAGTTGGCGGGGGGGACCGAGGTGAGTGGGTTGCTATCGGACCGGTCGAAGGAAGGTGAGCCAAGGGAGTGTGGTGGTCGAGCGTTAGAGAGAGGGCTACGGCGGCGCGATAAAGAGATGTAGGGGACCGCGCGCGCCACCAGAGAACTCCGTATCGTCCGAGGTAATGCATCCTCGGCGCGATCGCAACTACCAGGGCTAGTCACCTTCAGCGTAAGCTGCCCGTAGTGCAGTCAAAGTTGAAGCAACGTGGGCGCGTAGAGAGGGACAAGCTTGATCGTACAGCCCGAGCGTCCCCTCTCTCTCGCCTCGTGGCCGGGCGGAGAGGGGAAGCAAAGGGAGGGGCAGAGTGGCAGTCGTACGGCCCTCCGAGCACGAAGAAGAATGACGCCCTTCACCTTGGAAGAGAGTATGGTTTTTGCGTACGGTCTACAGTACATCACATAGTAAGGACATATAACAAAGGAGGCGCTGGTTGAGTCAGACCAGTAAGAGGGTAAAAGGATGTGTGAATAAGTGTGCCGACAGGACGAGTGGACGCGTAAACGCCGAAATTGTATTTTGGGCCTTCAATTGCAGTGACAACTATAGGGCCTCTGAAGGGAGGGCCATTTTCGAAAAGTTTTATTTGAAACATCGTCGTTGCGAAATCGGTGTCTGTTTACGATTGGTCGTTTACAAAAGTCTTATTTTGTCAAAATTCGGATGGACATACGAAATTTGATTTAACTGCAGTAATTTGTAACTAAAATTGAAGAGGAATCTCTAATTGGATAAATTTTTGTTTAACATTTACATCAAATCCTGGTGACCACCTAAAATGTGACCTCCACCTGGGGCAGTTTAGGAGATCACCCGGGCCCCGTACGAGTTCTTAAGGTCTCTCGAAGTGGCTAAAGGTTTACTAGCCTACTATCGGCAAAGAGCAGAAGACAAAATGTTTAGGTCTATAATTACACATCTTCATTTTTGTACCACTTTATTATATCGTTATAGGACATTTGCTAATACCACTGTTGTTACTTTATTTCTGATGTGTAGAAGTCTACAATACGTATTCAGAAAAGGATGGTGATTATTATGTTTCAATAATACCGTAAACATACGACACACCCATCGGCGAACACCACGTGGCGGCATCACCCCAATTTCGTACAATAAATTATATAAAAAAATATACAATATAGAACTACCTTTTTTTATAATTCTCATGTATGAAAGTTATCCCCTTTATCTTCCAGTTACTATCTTTATATCTTTATATTTTTTAGGTTCTTCTATGATTCACAGAGACATGTCTATTTTGTGCAAATCACGGCCTGACATGTGTTCTTATAATGTATGACTCCTGACAACGTTTTTGGTCTGTTTTGATTAATTGGAAAATAAATTTGTGAATTTTCTTATGGAAATCCAATGATCCAGAAGAAACTCCTTCTCTTTTTCGAAACCCCATAGATCTATTTATAATTCGACTTGTTTCATGCAGGATGTATATAACGAAAGGACGTTTACAATTGATACAACCTTCGTGAATAAAAATTGACTATAAGTATGTATACATAATAGAGAATATTCTACACTACTATCATATTCTTGTACACGTCTTATACTTGTCAAATTACCCCTAGCCATTATGTGTGTATAACTATCTACAGAACGTGACAACTCCTTGGACGCTTGGTTCAAAAAAGTAAGTAGACGGTATTGATGGTGGATATTACTGATACAGTTGTTTGGGATTCTTTTAGAACTTTTAGAACTTGTTCCCTACACGTTTTATCGGTAATATAGGTGTCAGAAATTACTGATAATCATCTCTTATTGCTCATTACTATGACGAAATATCCCTAGACGTCTATTTGACAATCAGCAGGAGTTCGTCGTTGGATAGTTAATAGAAGGACTAACAACGTGAACTGTTAGTGGAAGGGACTTAAAATGTAAAAAATGGAGACTTTAACTTCACTCAGTTTAATGTTTCATTTTTACTCGACAGTACACCCATATTACGGCGGGGTAATAACTGTTGTTCGTTGAAAGTGGGTAAATAATTTAATTACAAAATTTAAACCTATTGTGGTTACACAAAATTATTGAGGCGCGTTGGAAGATAACACCGCTTTTTGCTTTTGCAAGGTCATCCCTGCAGGGTATTGTGTGAAAAAGCTTTGTGTTATCGGTCGTACGAATCATAGTACCCCCCCCCCGACAGGGCAAGTTCAGGGTCAAAACCTACAGACGGCACCAAAGCAAGGTAAACGTTTTCACGACAAAGACGCGAGCGGCATTGGAACCGCGTGGACGGGTGAGTTTGTAGGTAGGGAACTTCTAAATAGTGCCCCGAAACGTCGCGTTGTCCCTGACATCAGGGTTTGCTATCGACGTCGCTAATACCATCACATCACCAGAAGCCGGTA